GTATTCATAATATGAGAGCCAGAGCATGTTCCAGATATACAGTGAAATCAACTATAAAGCACATCAAGGAATGAAATAGACTAGTAAGCATTAAATCTTAGAGCTGAAAGGGACCCTATAGATAAAATAATCCAAACTGCAGTTGAAATTTGCCTGAAGAGGTGAGAATTTTGCCCAAAGTCACACAGTAAGTTAATGTGAGAGCTGGCATTAGAGCCCAGGTCTCTGAATTCTCAGGACACTGTTCTTTCCACAGCAGGGTACAAAGTGTAGCCGGCCACTTGTTACACTATCCCAGTACAGGAGCTGGCTGCAGAACACAGCTCAGCAGGGCTGGGGAGAGAGAGAACAGGGGACTCTGAGGCATGAGGAGATCAGTCACCAGGAGGCTCCTGTGGGAGCAGAACTGATCTTTGGCTTGGCAGGAAAAGTGATTGCTCTTCTTTCCCTTAGACTACCCAAAAGAGAGTGCGTTCTGGTTTTTTTTTTCTCTCTCCAGGCATGCTTTGGAGGATTTAACCCCTTTAACTCCAGAACTTCCACTGGGCCTTCCCCCCACACCCTCCTGACTGGTGAGTGTTTCATGTAGTCCACTATATCAGGCCAGGCTAATGCCAAACATGATGCTTATTCCCAGGCCATTTATGCAGAAACCACCCTGCTATCCTCAGCTATTCCACTTCTGGTACCATAACCACATCAATATTGTTTTTACTGCCAGAAAAATTGTGTCAATTTACTCCCCTATGTAGCTTTTCAAACCACAGTACCCCACCCTGGCTTGCTTCTTCCTTTGTAGGTGTTCCCTCCCTACTAGAATGTAAGCATCCTGAAGGCAGGTACTAACTTCAATTTTTAATTCCTTATTAGCATATTTAAAATGCTTGGCACATGGTAAACATTTATTAAATATTTTCTAATTTGTTCATTGATTCATTCATACATTTGCTCTGAAAAGCAATAGCTCTGTATCTAATATAAAAATAATACATGAATAACAGGCTAAAGTTACTGGAGCAGGAGATAATTTCAGTAAAACTACCAGGAAGGAAGGGGGGGGTCACTCAATGTGTAGGGGTATGACAGTGTTGATTTACAAGTTGTGCCTCTTAGACATGCTGTTTCCCTAGGAGCTCTTTCCCTAGCACTCACATCAGACTAACCAAGCATCTAGAGAAATGTATCTCCTTTAGCCTCTTACCTATTGCTTAGGGTTCTGGCAATGAGAACAGGTTGGCAAAATCATGTGGCTTCTTCCTTCTGTCTATCATGTTTCCCAGTCTTTGGGGACTAGCCTTGCTTAGAGGAATTAGGAAGGGCATCACTTGCACTGTAGAATAATCCTCCTGTACCTTGTAGTGTGTCAGTGGGAAAGGATTATCATCCCCTAGGCTCAAGGATTGATAAAATGCCATTTTCATATAGCTGTTAGAATTGGATGAAAGAAAATAGTGGCAAAGGCAGACAGGCATGAGGAAGGGTTGGGAGCCTGGAGAAACCACTGCTGTGTGGCCATCAGGACATAATGGGTGTAAAAAGCTTCTTGCTCCCATCAGCGCATCTATAAAAACCAGAACCACTTGGCATCCCTCTAAGTAACAAATGGATATGGAGGACATTTTTTTTCCCACCACAGATAAGATAGAATCTGATTGCTAGAGGCAAGTAATCTCCAAGGCTGTGAATTTTTTGTACCCTCTGAATTTTGTTATGAAGCACACATCCTAGACCACAAACATTCACATACATCCACATTCACATATAGATCTATCTATGTAAAGTATAAGGTCTGATTGGTATCAGGATCTCAAAGGACTGGGGAGAAAATTTAGAGTGAATATTAAATGTAGGGAACCTACAAACTGATCTAGAGGAAGCAGAGGATGTAATAGACAAGGACAAAAATGAGGCAAGCAAAAAAGGAAGAGAAAAAGGTCTCTTGTCTGGAGCAGAAGCCAAGTTTAGTCACTCCATCACCTCCCAAATCTAGATCTGGTCTTGTGTTTTAAAGGAGATATATGCCATATGCAAATAAATGAATTTCAAATTCCTAGGCAGGTTGGAACTCCCAAAGTGGCCCAAACTGTGTCAGCAGGACACAAAAGAGTTCAACCAGCCATACCCTGCTTATTTCTAAATGACTAGTTTTTAACTAGATCAGTGAAAATAGTTATACATAGAGACACATCTCATGAAGGTGATAGAGGCAAGTAATCTCCAAGGCTGTGAATTTTTTGTACCCTCTGAATTTTGTTATGAAGCACACATCCTATATTACATGACATAATGGATATGTCCTGGACTTGGAATCATGAAGACCTGGGTTCAAGTCCTTCCTCAGAAACTTAGTAGCTTTGTCATCCCGGAGAAATCACTTAATCCTTCTGAGCTTTCATTTTCTTAGCTATAAATTAGGGGGTCACACTTGGCCTAGTGGTCCCCTTCAGCTTTCAAACTGTGATATCTTTAATCTCAAAGGACAGGGTAAATGTATGTCTTTTTTCCCTTGGAACCAATGGAGCAATAGACTTAAGTTGTCCTCAGTAAGATGCTGACCAGATAAATCTTTAGTCCTTGAATACTAGGGCCAGAAGAAAATTCAGAGGTCATCTAGTCCAATCATCTCATTTAAAAGTTGAGAAACTTGAGGCCAGAGAAACAGAATTATTTGCTCAAGGTAACAGAGCCAAAATTAAAACCAAGATCTCCTGATTGGTAGTCCAATGCTTTTTCCACTATACCATACCATAGCAAGTTCCCTCTGTTAAATTGCATGCCATTTTCCTACCAAGAGTGCCGTACCCTGCCCTACCACTGGTAAAATGTAGTGAAAAATAGATGTCAAAAATGTGTGCTTTGCATTTGAATATCTAGAACCCCAGGGAGGCCAATAAAATCTTTTTTTCTTCTAGCCAGATTTTCCATTAGCATTAAAAGTAACCACCTTGGGCTTAATGAAAAGATTTGCTAGAGGGGTAACAGGGACTTTTGGCAGCCAGACAGATCACTGACTAGCACTTGATAGCCAGTGTCATCGGGTCAATGACATTGTTTATACCAGTTGTTCTTCTAAAATAAGTGAAAAGCATTTCCAGAAGCCAGTGAAACTCCTAAAATCTCTTCAGTGAAATGATTTATACTATTCCTTAATCCTATGGAATTAATAATAGATCCTCTAGCTTCTTGTAGTATTCTAGGACCCTGCCCCATTTTTAAGGATTAACAGCACACATTGTAAAGCTTAAGCTTCAGTAAATGGTTCCTGTTTGCATTGTGCTTTCAAAAATCACTGATTCCTGCTGCTAGTCATCAAAACTGGGCCAAATGCCCGGACCCAAGTATGGCCTGTCCATGGGACTGACCACCTGTAGCTCCATCTCTTTTTCTGTTTTCCCTTCCTAACTTTTGATGTATAAATTCCATGTCTGCCCAGGTATTCAGGACCTTGGCTAACTCCTTTAATTTCTATTTGCTGGGAAGGAACATGCCATTTTATCAAGTTACATGTACATAATTTAAATCCATCTGTGTGACTGTATCTCTCTGTGTGATTGTGTGTTTGTATATCTGTGCATGTCTGTATGTCTATCTGTGTATTTGGTGTGTTTGTCTTTGTGTGTCTGTCTCTTTCTCTCTCTCTTTCATCTCCCTCCTCTGCCTCTCTCCTCCTCCTTTTCCAAAACTCATATTGATCCTTTCTATAAGGAAAAAGAAAAACAGTGAATATTAGGCCAAGAGGCATCATAATAAGAATTGGCATCAATAGTTTGGCACAAGGGGAAAATATTATAGTCTAGTTATTTTTTCTTTTTCTAAACCAACCAGCAAGCAAACAAACAAATAAAAATCCCATCAACTACCATAGAATACTTTTAGTGACGTTAGGGTAAAGTCACCTTCCCAGAAGACAAGTTAAGTCCTCTCTTCCTTTCATTAGCTTCTTAGCCCTGTTTTTCCACTGGAGCAACGCAAGGAAGTCTGACCCTCCCAAGGTTTCTTGAAGTCCTGTCTGACTCAGCCCACAGAGCCTAAATGAAATATTAAATAACAACAAAAAAAACCCGATGATGATTTAATTGAAAATAAAAGGACGCTGCCTTCAGATGGCTTCAATGGGTATTTAAGGATTCTTGGCATTCTTAAAAATGTCAGATTGCTTCACTGTTCTGTCCTTTCCCTCATCCACTTGCCCAGTCCCTCTGACCTGTGTCCTTAACCTGAGTTCTCCAAGCCCACTCTGCTGTACCCTACTTCCCCATACCAGCGCATCCCTCTCCCTCACCCTCCTTTTTCTTAATCGCGGAAAGAGCACCAGGAGGTCAGCAGAGGGAACATTTTGTGAATATGTATTTATTACAGAAAATTTAAATAAAGGAAAAAAAAATAAAAATTGTGCCACAGATTTAAAGCACTTTTGCTGCTTAAACTCGTGCAGTACTCTCTCACATGCTACCCCTTCTGCTCCCCAGACCCCATGGGCCAGCTCCAGGCCAGCCCTGCACACTACGATGGGCATAGGAAAAGCGACAGTAGAAGACAATTCACAACATTCACATTTTTGTCCCGTCTTCTCCCCTCTCCTCCCTCGTGAACCCCATCCCCCCATTAATCCCTTCTCCCTCAAGACGAGAAAATTCCAGACCCACAGCCAAACAAAAAGGGTTGGAAAACACAAATTTTTATAATAATTATTTCTTAAGCAAAATATCCCTTAAAACAGTGAGCTACAATCAAAATGTAGTTACCGATTGTCCCCTCCAGTGGAGAGGGGACTGAATCTGGGAATGTTTGTTCTGCTTAGTTTGCATGTCATTGTTGTGAAGTCTGTCGCGTTGTATATACACAGGTCACATTTTCGGAAGCGCGGCTCCAGGCCAGGCGACCAGTCGCATCGTTGCCGGGAGGATTCGGCCATCCCTCCCCCTTCCCCACTTTCCCCAAGATCCCGTCCCCACATGCAAGCTGAGATGCGTATCTCTCCCTTCGCGTGATCTCCCGGATCTCAGGCGACGGGACATCTCCCAGCAACTAGAAAGTTATTGCCCATTGCTCTCCACCATCCTCCCCATCCCTTTCTTTCATTACTTTTTGCTGGACTGTCCCAGAAGTGCACAGAGGCTGGTGAGGTCTCTTCTTAGGGTGGGAGGCTTTCAAAGAACGGAGCGAGACTAAGAGGTCGCTTCATCCCTTAGGTAGAAGAGATGGTGACCGAAGCAGCAGCCGAAGAATCATTAGGAGGCTATCACTCCGATAACTTTCTTTCGCCACATCTCAGATGGTTGAGAGGCGCGGCTGGGTTTGGCAAGATGGGTAGGACAGGGGGGAGGGGGCAAGCTGTGGCGAAGGAGGGGAAGGTCAGTAAGGTCCCACAACCACCGCCTCTACCTCTTTGGATGGTCGCCTATCCTTCACCAGGAAGTTGATCATACCCTCCGACTTGATGAGCAGGTTGCAGCCGAGGAAGAAGATGCCAAAGACAACGGTGAGCGACAGGACGCACATAACGGCTATCTGTACCACTCGCATAATGTACAGACTCCGTTCGTCCTGCCCGCTTTCCCCAAAGCCATCGTCTGTCACCACGGATGCCTGTGTACAGCAGCGCAGGACCCGCTCCATCGAGTCACTGCTGTTGGCCAAGAAAAGCCCAGCCGCTTCCGTCTGGTTGCCCAGCATGGGATTCATTCCGCTCCCGGGCGCGCCGAGTGGCGCAGGGTCGGAGGGGGGTGGAGAGTGGGGTGGAGGGAGAGGAACAGGTGTCCCCGGGGGTGGTGCTCCTACTTGGACACTCCTGACCGTCCAACTCTCCTTTCTTCTTCTCTTTTGCAAACCACGACGGTCCCCGGGTTCTGGGAGTCTACAGGATCCTCTGTGATACTACCAACAGCGGCAGCTTCCTTCACCAGCAGCTTCTGCCAAGGCTCTGCTCTCTCCCCTCCTGCTAGCCCAGGGGCTGTTATAAGTTGCCTGGGTTGGGAAAGCACTGACCGTGGGAGGTGTTGGCAGCTGAGGGGTGGCTGCTCCGGGGGAAGAGCGACCCCTCCTGGTCCAGGCTGGTCTCTGCACCAGTTTGAATTGAATTCTTGGGGAAGCACTAGGGGAAAGCGGCTTGTCTCTCTTCTACTGTCCCCACTTTCCAACTTTGTAGGCCAGGGCGGGGGTCACCGCACACTTTTTGTTTGATGGATGAGTTGAGGTTTTTTCTTTTTTTTCTTTTTTTAGTGAGAGCTACAACCAGCTAAAACTTCCAGAGGAACTGGGTCGTACTCACGGCTGTCCTTTGTCTCTCTGCCCCTCTAACCTCTTGTGAGGAATAAAGGTGTAAATATAATGCAGGTGCCAGATGGTCCCTATTTTTACAGAGATCTCCGTGATCTATGCTTCCTTCTCACCCAGCGTAACTTCTCCAGGAACCAGAAAAGAATTTTAATTGAGCAGGGATGAAGCAGAGGTCATTAAGCAAAGAAAATCCGGGTTTGCATTTTACAAAGGGTATAGGAGGAAGTCCAGATAGTGTTAAAGGGTTGTTCAGTTTTGCTGTTGTGGTTGTTTGTTATCAGGAAGATGAGGATTACTTTTACATTGCTGGGGTGGGGTAGAGTAATTAACTAGCCTATGACCACTCTAGCATTTATTAATAGCCTACTATGTTGCAGCCTCTGATTTGAGCACTGAGGATACAAAGAAAGTCAATACACAGTCCCCGCTGTCAAGGAGCTCACACTCTAGTTGGGGAGACACATGAAAACAACTGTGTATAAAGAAGATATATATTAATTTCTATTTCTGAGGTGGTGATTAAGAGACCATTGGGAAATTGAAGGGATGCCATAATGACCCCGAACAAATTGTGGTATATAATTATGATGGGATACTATTGTTCAATAACGAAATGATGAGCAGGGTGGTTTCAGAAAAACCTGGAAAGATTTATTTGAACTGATGTAAAGTGAAGTGAGCAGAACCAGGAGAAGATTGTACATAGTAATATAATGATGATTAATGTGAAAGATTTAGCTACTCTCATCAAGAAAATGATTCAAGGCAATTCTGAAAAATTTATGGTGAAAAATGTCATCCACCTCCAGAGAGAGAACTAATGAAATTAGAGTGCAGATTGAAGCATAATTTTTTCCACTTTCTTTATTTCTCTTCCTTTTTTTTGCAACATTATTACTAATAGGGAACTATGTTTTGAGTGATTTCACATGTATAATTGATATCATATTGCTTGTCTTCTTCCGGGGGGGGGGAAGCAGAAGGGAGGGAGAAAATTGGAACTCAAAATAAAAAATGAATAAATAATGAATAATTTTTATTTTAAAGAAAAAAAAAACTTTGGTGACTTTGGAGAGCGTATTTTCAGTTGAAATGATGAAGTATGAAGCCAGACAGCAGGTTAATAAGAAAGTGAGAGAAAAGGATCTGGAGTTACAGACTGGAAACAGTCTTACTGAAAGGCAGGTGTTTCCAAATTGATATGACTGCATCTTCTTTGATGATATTTTTAGAGGACACAGACATATAGGTTGAATCTTAGCCTATATGTTACTCAAATCCAAATCCTTTACTTGGGTGACGCTTTGGAAATGTCTTCTCTAAAACTCCTTTACCAAAAAGTTGTACCTATCAATGAGAATTTGTGAGTGCCTCATTGTGGGGAATACAAGAGAAGTATTAGTCATTGTCCCTTGAACTCAGAAACTAGAAGAGATGAAAATAGCATAAATAACATTACAGGAAAAGCAGTTACAGAAGACAGTGTAAAATAGTGTACCAAAGTGCACGATACAGACTACATGTTCTAAAAGCATTCAGAGGAGGGAAATATTAGTTGAGGCTCTAAGTTGGGAGGAAACCATCAAGAAAGAAATTAGACTTCAGCTAGACCTTGAAAGATTGGTATGATTTGGATAAGGTAGAGTGGACAGGGCATAATAACTTCTCCATGTGTTCAAAAGAAAACAAATGCTTTATTTACTAATCCATATGAATTACTCTCTAAGCTCTGTCAGGGCAAAATCTTTACTTCTTTTCTTCTGTATGGCCTCTGGCCTTGGATGAGCTGATGCATATCAAATTGAACTTAATGCAGCATTACAGTACATGAAGGAGTTTGGGAAATAGTGTTCAGTAAAACTGGTGCTAGAGGACATGCAAAATATGCACCAGGTGGTAGAAGATAGGATTTCAGGTTCCAAATAAAATTCTACCTTCTGAAAGAAGCCTATCTGGATCCCTGTTAATGCTAGTATCTTTCTTGTAAGATTATCTCCAACCTGTCTTACCTGTATATTGTTTATACATAGTTGCTGGCCTATTGTCTTTCCCATTAGACTGTACACTCCTTAAGAGCAGGGAATTTTTTTTCTCTTTCTTTGTATCTCCAGTGGTTCACATAGTGTCTGGAATGTAGTAGGTGCTTAATACATGAATGTTCACTTCACACTTGTTTAGGGCTTTCCAAACTATGTCACTATATGCCTGGAAGGAAGCTGAAGTATAAATACATCTATTGAATATCATAGAATCATAATTTAGAGCTGTAAGAAATTTTAGAGGCCATCTATTCCAATTCTCTAATTTTGTATGTCAGGAAATTGAGTCCCAGACTAAGTGATTTCCTCAGGGTAACATAATTAGTAAATAACTGGGGTCGGATTTGAATCGAGGTTTTCTGATTTCAAGTCCAGAAATCTATTCACTATGCTGTGAAGTGAGATGATTTATGGGAATTCAATGCAACAAACATTTATCAAGTATTTGCCAACAAAACATGTTGTTTTGTTGTTTTATTATTATATTTATTAAAGTATCTGCATACAAGAAACAGAGTCCTGTTGAATTATTTGTAATAAGCATTTAGCCGGAAGTCATAATCCATATGTATGTCTTAGAATCCTCTAACATTTTGTGTGGCATCTTATGTTAAGGTCATTAGAAAAGTCAGATTTTTGACAGTCTAATAACTTAGTGTACCTTCTCTCCCACCCCCAATGATGAAGCTCTAATCTCCGCCCCCATCTCTGTCTCTCTCTGTCTCTGTTTCTCTTTCTCTATCTCTTATTAAATCACATGGCATCAAGCCAAAACCGAGATGACTGGTAGGAAGGCAAATAACTACCTGTAGTGTAACTGGCAAGGAGCCCAACAAAAGACAATTTTTTACATTGCTTTTTATAAGTGTATATATTCTTTAATTTTTTTCAATTAAAAAGAATTTTCTTTTTTCCCTCCCCCTGTTCCCATTGAGAAAAAAAGAAAACTCTTGTGATAAACAAATTTCCATATTGGCCATGCCCATAAATGTGTGTCACATCCTGTATTTTGAGTCCATTATTTCTCTGTTGGGAGATAGGTAGCATGCTTCACCATCAGCCCTCTGGAATTGTGGTTAGTCATTACATGGATCTGAATTCTTAAGTCTTTCAAAATAGTGTTTAATATGTTGTTGCTTTATAAATTGTTCTCTTGGTTCTACTTACTTTCTTGAGTATTGGTTCATGCCAGTTGTCCCAGGTTTTCTGAAACTGTCGCTTTCATCATTTCTTGTAGCACAATAGTATTTCATTGCATTCATGAACTATATATACATATATATGCATATATATATGTATGTATGTATGTATATGTATATGTATATGTATGTATATACACATATATTTAGCCATTTCCCAATTGATGGACAGCCTTTTACTTTCTAGTAGAGCTACCATAAATATTTTTGTATATATGGATTCTTTTCTTCTTTCTTTGTTCTCTTTGGGTATATAGGGCTAGTAATGGTATAATGGTACCACTAGATGAAAAGGTATGTAGAGTCTAGAAACTTTTTGAGAATAGTTCCAAACTGCTTTCCAGAATGGCTGAGCCAATTAACAACTCCACCAAAAGTGCATTAATATGTCTGTTTTCCCACAGCCCTTCCAATACTGGTCATTTCCTCTTCTGCCACTTTTGCCAACCTGATGAGTTGGAAGTAGAACCTCAGTTCTTCTCATTTTCATTTTTCTAGTAAAGATTTAGAACATTGTAACATAGCTAATTGATAGCTTAGATTTCTTTCTTTGAAAACTTCCTATTGATAGCTTTTGGGCATTTATCAACTGGAGAATGACTCTTATTCTTATAAATTTGAATCAGTTTTGTGTATTTCTTGGAAATAAAATGTTTATCAGAGAAATTTGCTATAAAGATCCCCACCCACCTTCATGGCTTTTTTTTAAATCAAAGGCTTTTTTTTAATCAAAAGCACTTATTTTGTAATTAGCCAAATTGCATGTATTACTCTGAGGGTTCAAATACTCCAGTGGACACAGAATACCTAATTTTTAAACATGGGGAAACAAATTTCAAACCTTACCTAAAGTGCAGAGGGGCTGTTTGGCAAAGTGAATAGAGAGTAGGCTTTGGAATCATGTCAGCTTGGGTTTAAGCCCACCTTCTTACACTTGCTGTATGGCCCTGGTAAAGTCATTAACCTTTCAATGCTCCCAGGTAATTCTCTAAGGCTGTAAGCTGCCAAATAGACATTGAGTAGACTAAGTTCCTTGAAAGGTTCCCTATCCTTATTAAATCACAAATCCAGTACAAAAACCTTTTTTAGGTTCTTAGTCCTGACTCTACTTCAGGTAATAAAATGGGACTAAGAATAAATCTAGGATTAGTGGTAGGAAATTCAATTCAATTCAATTCACCAAGTAGTCATTAATATGCAAGGTATTATACTAAGGCACCAATAAAAAGACAAAAAATGACACAGTCTTGTCTTAAGAGAGTTTATATTCTACTGCCACAGTCTATTCAGCAGTCATCACTAGTTTTCCTATAGTATTTCCATTTTTCTACTCAAAACGACTCTTACCTCCTCTGCCCAAGAGGTTAAAAAAGTTGAACAACTAATAAAGAAATTCTCACTGAAACTTTTTTAGTTTTATTTATGTATTTATTTGGAGGGGTTCTA